TAGTAGGAAAAAGAATTTCTTAAAAATTGAATGGTACTTATATAATGTGTGCAACTCTACAGCGGGGGAGGGGGGACTCCCTAAAGCTAGAAACCTATTCCATACCTTACATAAGCATACATTCCAAGTAGAGTTAAGATTTAGACCTAAGGATAAACTTTGAATTATCATAATTTTATCAAGAACATTTTAATGACTTTAGAGTGTAGGAGACTATTCCTAGGAAGTCAGGAAATCAATATTATGGAAATGGTTATAGTATCAAAAATGATCTACAGATTCAATATAACCCCATCAAAATACCAATGACATTCCTTACAGAAGTAGAAAGATCAATCATAAGATTCATATCGAATCATTAAATACCTCAAAATAGCCAAAGCAATCCTGAGCAAAAAGAGTAATACAAAAACTTTCAGTTCCTCACTTCAAACTATACTATAGAGCCACAATTTAAAGATAAATCATGGTTTGGGGAGAAAATAGAGACACTCAGATATCCATTTTTTCATGGAATTATTTCCAGTAGCCAAGCCATATAATCAGCCTTGGTATCTGTCAACAGATGAATGAAAAAATGTAATGTGGTATATGTACATATTAGAGTATTATTTATCCAGTAAGAAGAATGGTATTTTGTTGTTTGCAGTAAAATAGATGGAACTAGAAAAAATCATGTTAAGCATACTAAGCCCCATTAGGAAGACAAATTCCATATTTTTTCTCATATGAAGAATATAAATCTGAACACACACAGGATGTATTTTGCACATATATACTAAATATATGGAATAAATTATATTTTACTTAATCCAAATATATAAAGTGTATATGTATTTATATATGTGTACACTTATATACATAAATATATATGTGTATATGTAAGTAAAACATGCCATTGATCAACATCGTACTCATAACATCATACGTAGGGAATTGTAACTGCTTTGTACAACTACTTAACAATAAAATTTTAAGAAAATGAATGTAAATGTGAGACTCTGGTGGGAAGAACCAGCAGTAGAGGAAAGGGCAAGAGGGCAAGGAGAAGGTCATGGAGGTCAATATAATCAAAATACATTGTATTTGCTTATGAAAATTGCCTAAGGACAAAGAAATAGGGGATGGTGGATGGGAGGTGACAAAGATTAATAGAGGAAATGAATTTGATCAAAGTACTGTGTGTGTGTGTGTGTGTGTGTGTGTGTGTGTGTATGGATGGATGTAGCACACATACATGGAGAATGAGCAAAACACCACAAGAAAAATCAGTAACAAGATGGTCAAAGAAAACACTGGAGTATCTGGAGTATTGGCCAACTACTGTATTAGAGCCATACTAAAAAGACTGATGTCTCGGTTTTACAAGCAAGAAAGAAGATGATAATGCCTAGAGTTTCTTTGGAGATTAAATTAAATAAACTTTTTAATACTAATATGAACACAATAATAGAGTAACACAATAATAGAGCCAGATGGTAAATCATATAAAAGATTCAGTATATAGTACTTGAAGCTTCTCTATTTGCTCAGCTTGGAGAATGTAATAAATAATTATCAAAAAGAGGAAAGTAGTTTTGTTTTATTCATAACTAGAAGTAAATAATAGATAATTCAGGCCACATTGTAATTAAAAGTAAATTCTTTAAAAAAATGAATTGGATTATTATCAAAGTTTAGAGCTGTTAAAGTAATATAATGTTGGAATGATCAAGGAGAGTCGGTATGCTTTTCTAGCACATACTAAAGTATCTTGTGATTTAAAAATAAAGAAAAAGTAAATTATTTCATGTAAGATATAGCACTTCCATAGATTCAGAGAGATAGAGCATACAAAGGAAAACCAAAGACTATGGGGCTCTTCAGTTGGTAAAATGTGTGGCTTATGGCATATCATTATTTCTCTAAGTATTATCTCTATAGTATGGGCTTAAAGTTGTGTGTGCTGTATGATTTAGTCATAGTGTTATACTATATTCCAATCACATTCAGTCTTCTCTGATCTAGGAAGTTGCAATATACATTAACACCACTAGATGGCAACAAAGGATTGTAAGTGCATGTCTTTAGTATCGCCTAATTTTTAAAAAGTATATCTAATATATTCCAGGAAACACCGAAAAAGAATAAATATTAACTGATTTGTCACAAAGAAGTCATTTTTTCAGATTTATAAATTAAATGGAAAGTAAATATAAGTTCAATTCCCACTACCTCCAAAAATAAATAATACATTAAATGAGAACTCGATATTAATGCAGTTATTTTTGTTTGCTTCTTTTGTTTTTATTCTAGGCTGGCTTTAAATAAATTCTGACCTATATCACTTCACTGTTTGTTTGGTTTTTTTTAGGGGAAAGGAGTTCTTGTCCTGGGGCTTGAACTTGGGGTCTGGGCACTATCCTTGAGCTTTTGTGCTCAAGGCTAGAGTTTTACCACATCATCCACAGCTCCACTTCTGGCATTTTTGGGGTAGTTTACAGAGATAAGGGTCCCATAGACCTTCCTGCCTGGGCTGGCCTGGAACCATATCCTCAGATCTCAGCCTCCTGAATAATATTACAGGTATGAGTCACCAGCAATCAGCAAGCCTTGCAGTCTGGCATTTTTAGTAGTTAATTGGCAAAAAGAGTCTCATGGACTTTTCTGTCAGGGCTGGCTTTGAAATGTGATCCTCAGATTTCAGTCTCCTGAATAGCTAAGGTTACAGGCTTGAGTGGTCAGTGTCTGGCTTGTTCACTACTTAATGTCTTCATTTATATATAGTATTTTGATTGGCTCACATGAAATTGCAATTATATGACCATTTTTGATTAACAAAAATCACTTTGTATATATAACCTAATAATAGTTACTATTGAAAAAAAAATTTGTTGGTAGTGGGGCTTGAACTCTGGGCCTGGGCGCTGTCCCTCAGCTCTTCAGCTCAAGGTGAGTGTTCTACCACTTGAGCTACAGCACCACTTCTGATTTTCTGGTAGTTTATTGGAGAGAAGAGTCTCAGGGCTTTCCTGCCAGGGCTAGCTTTGAACCATGATCCTCAGATCTCAGCCTCGTGAGTAGCTAGGATTACAGGCATGAGCTACCAGTGCTGGCTTAATATTTTTTATCTAAATATTCATGAGATAATAAAATAAAATGCCAAATAAAAATATCCTATTTTGAATTATTCCCAAAACACAAACTATATTCACATGTAAACCATGAAAAACAATAAACATGCAGTGTGCGATTGGAAAGCAACTTTTTAAAATATCTTGCTTTAATTTGCAAATGCTGATCTGCTTATTAAATATGCTAATAACAATTGTTTATAACTCAATAATGCCCCTCAGTAGAAAATTAGGAATAAGTACCAGAAATTTCCAGGGATTACTGATGGCAAAATCTGAACGGTAATTCCTCTATTATTATCATTGCGTGTAACAATAATGTGAACAGCATCACAGCCATTTGAAACTCTGGAAAGGGCTACTTCATGAAATACCACCTTATCAAAAACTAGAAGGTTCCTATCAGGTTCTTTCAGTGCTGGAATGCAATTGAATTAGATAGCAAAGTCAGGTTAAGTGATCTAAAGAAGCTGTACTTGGTGACAAAGACATCCCTCCCTTGTTTCCCCTGTCCTCTTTTTGTACACATCCTAGCTTTTTTGAGAGCAATTGAATCTTTTTACAGTGCCTTACTCTTCTTCAAACAAATGAAATTTGAAACCCGGGACAATCTTCCCTAGTAAATAACACCTGGAACCTTCAGGACAATATGAAAATCATTCAGGGGTCTGCTTCTTTTCAGACTCCCAGTTTATCAATTCCTAGCCTGGTCAAATAAAAATTGGGTTCTGTAGATAGACCAAGATTTCTAAGCTTAGTGAAACAAAAATTCTTTCTCAAAAAAGTTCTTTACAATTTTGGGGACGGGGGGGGGGGCACAGTGGGAGGGAGGAGTTGGGGAGGTGGGGAGGGAAGGAATGGTAGGGGAAAAACAAAGGAGGAGGTAACAATGCTAGGAAATGTACTCATTACCCTACTCATGTGACTGTAACCCCTCTGTACAGTATTTTTACAATAAAAAAATATATATGGAAAAGAAAAAAAGTTCGCTATGGTGATGTGATAGTTTCTGTGAAACATGATTCAATATTATAAAATTATGAGCTTAGACTTGCTAAATAAAATATTCTAGCTATCAGTCCACTGTATTCTTCCTTCATATATACTTTTGTTCCTTTTAATGATGACGAAATATTTATTTTTCCTTTACCAGAGGTATTTCCTTTTGACTTTACCTCTGGAAAAGGTATAATTTCCTCCTAAATTCAAGCATCAATTCCTCATCACTTCCACCACTCACAATTTCATATGTCTTTCACAATGGACCCATCCAAATGGCAACTCAAAGGGCAAAAATATAGAAATTGTGGCACTGGAAATGAGTCAACCCAAGTAGAAGTGGTATAACAAACTTCTTTTCTTCAGAGTGGGTACAAAGACATACTCTTAGGCCACACCATTACACATCTATCAACAATAATGAGTTCATGAAGCCAACAGCAAAAATAAAAAGTTTTTAAGTATTGCTTCAGTTTGGCCTTTGCTGATATCAAGAAATGGTCCAAAAGCAGCTTGGGTTTTTTTTGTTTTATTTTTGTTGGTCGTGGGGCTTGAACTCTGGGACTGAGCACTGTCCCTCAGCTCTTCAGCTCAAGGCTAGCACTCTACCACTTGAGCTACAGGGCCACTTCCGGTTTTCTGGTGGTTTATTGGAGATAAGAGTTTCACAAACTTTCCTGCCCAGGCTGGCTTTGAACCATGATCCTCAGATCTCAGACTCCTGAGTAGCTAGGATGACAGGCATGAGCCACTGGCGCCTGGCTCAAAAGCAGTTTTTAGGACATTCAATCAATAGGATCTATATAATATTCTTCATAAGAGAGTTAAAGTCATATTCTATCAAATAAAACCCATTCCCTGAGTAGGTAAACAGCAAGGCATACTCACTGTCTACAATGTCACCCTGAAGTTGTAGGATCTCAGGAACTGGCATGGTGAGGACTACAAGATCGAAGATCTCCGGGGAGCCAGTTTCCTTGGAGACTTCCCATTTGTTATTGTGCAGGTTGATCCGGGTCACACACTGTCTGAAGTAGACTTCTGCTCCTGCTCAAAAAGCAAAATCATGTTCAAGCTATCAGGATTTTCCATAGGAGTGAGGGAAAGATGAACAGTTAAAACTAGACTCATCCAGGTAGACAAAATTCTCGTTTCCCTTCTTCAGTCACTAGAACTCTTTATTTCTAACTTGGTGGCAATTCCTCTCCTCCATCACCACCAGCATGCTTGTATCTTGATATCAATGCCTTTTTTTTTTTTTTGGAGAAAACAAGAACAATTAATGATAATAACAGTTACCATAGCCACCTTTCACTATGCATATATTATGTCAAATATTTAATCAAAATTCTCTTAATATCACAAATAAGAAACAGGTTTAGAAACGTCATGTGGTAAGGGTAAATATGATCAATGTTCATTACATACATATATAAAAATTTCATAATAAAATCCATTATTTGGTACAATTAATGTATGCTAATAAGACACTAAAAAATACATGCCAGGATTTATAGAGCTCCTCAAGTATATATTTCAGTAAAGTTGTTAACAATTCACTCCAATATTAGCAAGAAGGGCAATATTCTCTATTAAAAATTAGCCTTTCATTAAAGGATCTGATGAAGGATTCTGTAGGAGAAACTTGTCTCCATAAATAGATCATTACCTTCATTGACAAGAATCAGAGGTAAGAGACACGTTGAATATCCTCTCATCCCATTTTTCTCTTAGCATTTATCAAAAACCACTTTCATAATTATTTGCATAAAACTCTGTGTGTTACTGTCTTTCCTTTTATTCTCTAAGACCCAAGAGCCACAAATAATTGACTATTTTGCTTCTCTATACAACATGTAGCAAATATAGCACACTTTTTAATACATATTAAATATTTAATCAGTTGTTTAAAGAAATAAATTATGAACCTTAGACTGAAAAAATAGGTCATTAAGTCATCATAGTAAATTAATACATCAAATACAGATTTTTTCAAAAAACTTAAATTGGAAAGTAAATCCACTTTTATTCAGCCTTATGTACAAAAAGAAGCATCACATAACATTGGAATGAGGAAAATCAAAAGCACATGACAGGGCTGGGAAGATGGCTCAGTGGTAGAGCGCGTGCCTTGCATGCCTGAGGCCCTGGGTTCGATTCCTCAGCACCACATAAGCAAAAAGAAAAAAGCCAGAAGTGGCGCTGTGGCTCAAGTGGTAGAGTGCTAGCCTTGAGCTGAAGAGCTGAGGGACAGCGCCCAGGCCCAGAGTTCAGGCTCCACAACCGGACCCAAAAAAAAAAAAAAAAAGCACATGACAGTTCCTGCTCATCTTTACCTGAGACATTTCATGGTCCTAATCACTAATAATCCAGCTCTAGTCCAACTTAGTCCTTAAGGTTTCCTTTCTTTAGAGCTCAATGTGCTCTTTCCGACCTATGACAATCCAGCCTTTACCAGTTGTTTTGATATTGATTCAAAATATCTGCATGTGTCAGTAATATTTAGTGATACTCTTAAGATCTCTATATTAAGCAATCTCATCTTAAATGTCTTTTATTGTCTCTTCACAATGCCACCCTATCTTAACATTCAAAATTCTTCTAGGAAATGGAAATGTTAGAATGGACATGATGCCAGCTAGGTCAAGGGATCAATCTGTGTTTGAAAACAAGGCTAACTTACCCAAGGGCTTTGCCAAGGTCTGAGCTAAGGGGAGGTATAAATCAATGGGGCTCTTATTTCATACCCGCAATCTCCTTTATTCCAGTCACAGCATCTCTGCTTCACTTATTATTATTATTAATATTATTATCATTACCATCATCATCATCATCACCATCATCATCATCTGGGAAGTGTCTCCCCACTGACCTCATTTACTTCATGACCTTGTTCCAGACCTCAATTAAATCAACTGGTTCTCTTTTATTTAATTTTATACAAAACAGTCTTTTGAAAAGAACAGTTCTATTCTTGTGTGTGTTTAGAAAAGAGTAAAACCTACTGGCTTGAAAAATGCTCCATGCCCCCACTGAATTTCTTAGAACTGAATCCTGATGGCCTCAAATTCTTCTTTTTTTTTTAATTACTTGTTTTTTTTATTTTTATTTTTTGCCAGTACTGGTGCCTGAACTCTGGGCCTGGCACTGTCCCTCAGCTCTTCAGCTCAAGGCTAGTGCCCTAACACTTGAGCCACAGCACCACTTCCAGCTTTTTCTGCTTATGTGGTGCTGAGGAATCGAACCCAGGGCCTCATGCATGAAAGGTAAGCGTTCTACCACTGAGCCACCTTCCCAGCCCCTCAAATTATTCTGTACAGTTTATTCCAATGGTTCTCTAAGTGTCCCAGGCCAGCAGTATCATTATACTCTACATTAACAGAGGCAGCACTTTGTCTTTCATTTACCCTTGTTTCCCAGCACATGGTATCTAATGAAAAAGTAAAACTCTGAGCTAGCTATCTTTAAAGAAGCACAAGACTAAGAAAATTTAAACACCTTATAAGTGAAAATGTATTTCTGCTATACATTTCATCAAATTTATCCCCAGCCTTCTTCCATTTTAGTGACTATCCAAGTTAAGTTTTCACTGCAATTTTCCACTGAAACGTTTTAGTGGGCTTCAGATACATTACTAGAAAATAAAGAGAGTCATGAAGCTAAATAGACAAATGTTGGTTTGTTTTTTTTTTTCTTTTGGAAGCAGTCATTGGGAAATTATTACTGCTTATTTTGTAAGATGAGAAAGATTAGCTATCAAGTGGCAAATAAGGATATAGTATCTTACAATTTCTATGTGGTATTACATTTAATTATGTGTATAACATCATTTTAGAATACTAGTTTAAAAGAAACAAAAAAATCCAATTCCCACCTGATTTTTTCAAGTAATGCTTAATAATTGAAGAAATTCCCTGAGGTGCCACAAAGTTGCAGTCTCCTTCATTCACCCTCATGCCTTCTATAGAAGCAGCCAGAGGTGCCAAAATCCCAAGAGCTAACAGTTCATCATAGAAACTGAAATCAGTCAACATACACAATATAAGTAATTACTATATTTCTACAATACTTCATTCTTTTCTAATCATTCTTGAGATATTATATTTCCAAATCCTAAGTCGAAATCTTCATATGGGCAGCTCAACATATATTTTCTGCTAAGCAAAACTTGCAATTTTGGAGGAAAAGTTGATCTTAGCAAAGGTTTCTAGTGTTCCACATAATTCAAAACTAAAGACAATGACAATATAGACAAAGGTGTTTTGTACACAGATGCTAGCTTTGGTTAATATTAACTTCCACTGTGGATACTTGTCCTCTCATTCAGAAATTATATTTATTGAGGTCTGCATTTGTTTCATGTAGCCTCTTATCTGCCTAATCTATACAACCCATGAATTGGGTATTTCAATTTCCTACTTTACTCAAAACTGACCTTTTATAGCTAACAAACATCAACAATGATGATAGCATAATTTCACTGTTACAAAAGGCAAAATCTAAAAATGTGCTTAAGATCTTTTCCTTTAATACCATACAACCATTAAGACTGATTCCATCCGTGGCAAATAATGACAAACTTACTTTTGGTGTTGTTTGGCGTAATGAGGAGTGCAAGTGATATACTGAGCACCCAGATCAGCCGTGCACTGGGGATTATGGGGACTGCTGGCCGTGGTCATTCTTCCCCCTTGAATTAAGTCACAGGTAAATATCAATGCATTAAGAGCCTTTCCCAGTACAATTCACCCCATGATACTCCCATGGATTTTAGATTTAAGAAAAAATACATTAAGAAACATTCTTTTTAATCTGCGGTGTTTGACAGCATTTTCTCATGAAGCAGATGACAGGTACAATTAGATTACTTTGAAGACTGTAAAATATTGCTTTTACAGTCTTCAAAGTAATCTAACAAAGGAATAAGAGGGACTCATGTGCAACGCACCCGTGTCTCGCAGTGTTGTTGCACACGTGCAATGTGAATAAATGGTATGAATGAGTGAATGGATAAATCCAAGTGATGGATGGCCGAGTCACAGGAAGAATCTTTGGGGTGTCTTTAACAGGATCCTCTAAGCTAGCTCTCTGGAAGATCCTGGTGCTGAAGACTTTGGGATCCCTAAGGTTGTGGAGAAAGCTGCAAGGTCAGGGACATAGACATCCATCCATTTACTGGGGACACGGCAGGCCTAGGCGGCGCGGTTACCAGGCCCACTCCCCCACCGACAGCCTAAAGAGAGGACGCAACCGCTGCGGTCACGTGACGACGCGCGCATGCTCAGGAGCGGCCCGCGGTTGCGCGCCGACCGGGCTGGCTTCTCACGGCCTTCTTATGCCTGGGCCGGCTTGGCCCGGCCATGTTCATCGCTGAGCATCCGCCAGCCTCTTCGTCCCCCCACCCCCAGGGTTTGGCGGACAGACAACCCACCTGAGTCCCCAGCCTTGTCCCACACGGCGAGGTGCAAGGGACCTGTCACCTCTTTCCTCAGCAGCGCGGCGCACAAGCTTCCTGTCAGCCCGGCGCCCACAATCAGCACCCGCGCCATGGCGGCCTGGGCTTCACGGAGGCTCGCGGCGAGCTTTGGGGGGGATGGCGGGCCTGCCTGCCCGCGCCGGCGGCACCCGGCCCGTCTGTCTT